AATATATATATAGATATATATTTCCAACAGCTGTTTCCATCAGTGATTTCTATACACAATTGTGATCTCAAAGCGCCATCTACCAGACGAAATGTGCAATGACCGCAGCTCGAGCATTCGCGATCGGTTGCGGTTATATAAAACACCATAATGTAATCATAGTTTAATCATGAATTCACTCAGTAAATATAATTTCATAGTGTACAGTGTAGGCGATAAGGTTTCTCCTTTTCTGTCAATAATGTAGCATCCGTCATACCACTACAATAATGTACGTATACTAAAAACTGATTATGCTGGTAGAAGTACGAATATAAAAACATGTTTCATTGCAAAATCACCGTGTGTATACGCGTAGACGTGTATATCACTGTGTGCACTGTGTGTATAGCCCTATAGACCGAAGGTCCGATAGACCGAAGGTTTATTCGAATACGCAGTGTCTACACGTCCGGAATCGGTCGCCTAGCCTCCAGGCTACGCATCCGGACATCCACTGATGTCGTATTCGAACGTGAATATGCCGCACATCCACCGATGCCACTACAAGCCCTAACCTTAACCATAGCCCTAACCCTAATCATAACCCTGACCCTTTGAAATATTCGGTCTATCGGAACTTCGGTCTATAGGGATGACCCCGCTCGTATTGCGTGTGTGCGTGCGTGCGTGCCTGTACGTGCGTGTGTACGTGTCATGTAAGCTCATCGGCCCGCGCGTGTATCAACTTTTTGCACGAATATTGCGCTTTATACATCAACTTCTCTCCGCACAGTTTTCAAATCACATTCCATTTTAAAATGAATGTTTTTGCACATAAATACATCGACGCGGGCACACAGACACGCGCTCCCCACCCATCTGCCAGCAAGCGCGCACACGTGTGCGGTAGCATACCATTTTCCTTATATATAGCTGCTGACTCGGCGATAGAACGCCTGGAAAGGGATCCGCCCAGGAGCCGATGAAAACCGCATGTACGTACTGCCGACGAAAGGCCATCTCTAGCCATAAACCCACGCGTACTACCGCCCCACTGAAACTAGAGAGGGCGTGCTGCTGCCGCCGCCGCGTATATAATATATGACGTATTGTAAGAACGGGAGATCGGTGGACCGAACAAAATCCCTCCAACGACGAAAGATTTCTTCGCGATAGAGTTACGAGCACTAAGCGCGCAAAATCACTCGAACGCCGAAAGATTTCTTCACTATAGAGTTGCTAGCACTAAGCGCGCAAAATCGCTCGAAACGACGGAAGATCTCATCGCGATAGAGTTACGAGCACTAAGCGGTAAATTCATCCATCACTGAACACGTCACGAACGCAGCGCGGCTTAAGGCCGCCGCACACCAGCCGATTTTACAAACGATGAAGCGATGAAGCGATGTAGGTGTGCGGCGGCCTTAAAATCGGCTCATCGGTTCAAAATCAAACATGTTTGATTTGGAACGATCACCCGATAAAAATAAAATCGTCTACAAATGAACGCGCACACCTACATCGCTTCATCGTTTGTAAAATCGGCTGGTGTGCGGCGGCCTTTAGCAAACGCGACCCACGCGCCTCAACAGCGACAAGTGTAAGCGACCGAGACGAGAGCAGATGGAAGTGGACAGAATAATAGAAAACGCGCGAAATCACAGCCCCCACCCTAGCTCCCCCTTCTCACCACCTTTAACTCCTTAGCACGCCAAACACCCAGCGGCTGCACCAGTCTCTCGTGTGACAGCTAAATGAACACGTTTCGTGTCAGATTACGTGCGACTTGTTGAAATATATAGACCGAAAGCTTTTCGCACCAAAGGCAGCATATATATTCCGCGGCGGGTGCTACAAAAATCGACGTCCACTCCCCAACTCGGAGTTTTTACTCTCGACGATTTTACTCGGGTACTTCATGGATTTACTCGAACACTTGTGCGTTTCCCACCATAGTAGCAGAAAAACTCTCTACCAACGATAACTAAACCAACGAACACAAACGTCTGTATTACCTACGAACGCACGGGCCATGCTCGCTATATGCATATGTGCATCGAGGAATCGCAAGTCTGCATAAATACGCAGATATAAACTACGATACAGTGATAAATGCTCGGTAGACTGACGCTCGAACAAAGCCTGGTCGTGTCGTAACATCGCAAATCACTCGTTTTATTTGGTTTGAAATTGATCACCTATACATGTATGCACACTACTAAAACAAATACAACATAAAAATAATCGATAATGCAAACTCCACACCGTTACTACCTCACACAGTATGGTGAGTGTGTGTGTGTGTGTGTATGGAGGTACAGCAGTCGTAGGCGCGACTGTAGGCCTAATAACATAAATACTGCTAACGGAAGCACACGCAGCGCCAGAAATAGCTGCGAATACAAGGGTAAAATCACACGACATTTGCATCTATTGCAGGATATATTACTCACGCGGCTGCGGGAGCTACATGGCAGGCACTATTTGGCTGAGCAAGGGCAAAATTCCCTTCGAACCGAAACGACGAAAAATCTTTCGGGGAAACGTCATTGATGTGTCAAACTTAAATGTCATCGCCACGTGTAACGTGGCCGTGAGAGGGGATACCTATACCTACGTGTTGCTGGTATAATTATAGCAGAAGTGTATAATATAGATTATACTATACACTCCTTATTATAGCAAACACCGGCAACTAGGTGCGCATAATAATACAACCAGGATATGGGAGACAAGCAGGAGTGTCATGATATAGACTAAAATATCTATATAACGACCATCCTGATCATAGCACGTCGTGAGACGTTATATAGTTAAAAGTGCGCTAACAGCTTTTTGATGATACAATGACTAAGGGGCAGTATTTGATATCACAATCACAGCTATACAACCATTGCTTATTGAGATTGCGAATTTCCAGCAATACTAAATCATTTTCTACACGCGCGCGAGTGCTATAAACTTAACACGCTGTACGTAACGAGCAGTGTACTCAAATAAATGAGTAGTTATTACTTCACTCCCGATATAACCGAGGATGTTGAATAAATATTGCAGTGAGTGTGAGTGTGCCATTGAACTTCCCTAGTCGTAGAATAACGCTCATTTATGTTGGGTCACGTGTAAACATGGCCAGCGAATACCATATTGATTGCACGGTCGCTTCAATTACACAGAATTTCACCTAGACTGCCTCCACGCGTCGCGGATACTAAACGACGTTGCAGCTAGAGACTTCTGCGAGCAGTCTAAATTTCAACTCTAGCATTGATATCATCAATCCACTCGACTTCCTACTGAGTATCAGCTTCAGCTATGGGCGAGCTAAAAGTGGTCTCCAGGGAGAGAAAGAGGGAGAGGGAAGAGGGTAGAGAAGGAAGCAGACTGGGGTGGTAGTGGACGAAGAGGAGGAAGGGAAGATAGATAGCGAGAGAAAGAAAGAGAGAGAGAGAGAGAGGGGGGGGGGAGAGGGAGAGAGGGTTGAGGGAGGAGGGCGAGAAAGGGGAAAGGTGAGTAAGAGAATCTTGACCCTATCGCAGAGATTATACAACCATAACATAATAACCTCCTGCATATCCACACAGGGTGTTGGGTAATGAGTGTAACAATATCAACAGACAAGAATATAATATATATATATATATATATACTACACTACCAAATCCGTATTATGAAATAAAGAAATAACGCCGATGCGTGCTAAAGTCATTTCACACAGCATATCTAAACACGCACATATATAAAACTAAATCTTCAAAAGCAACAGCTAAAAACTGCACTACAACACATGTTCCGACTAAGACCGGTTTAAATATGATTAAAAATGCCATTATTTTAATTTTTGGTGTTTGTGATTTATGCACGAGAGTTCACGCAGAGAGAATATCTTGCCAAGAATTCTCACCCTTAAATACTTTCACAATTTCAAGACTTTTATATTATAACTGACTAGCTTTGGTTGGACTTTACTTTTGACTTGCAGTTGGAGACAATTAGTTAATTACTGCTTGATACATATCACAATAAGTACTGCATTTGTATGTCAGTGTTGAATTCACGATCAAGTGTAAGTTACATGCTACATTACAGAATCACAAGATCCATTCCAAACATTTTCACTGTAACCGTAACTTGCTAGCTCGTATTTTCACTCGTTGCATGAAATTATGCAAGCACAGGATGCACGTTAATAAAGTGCCCTGTGACAGCAACAACCCACGCACGATGAAAGCCAACACAATAGTCACTATTCAGGACACGAATATTGCACAGACGATGACAAAGGTTTTCACGCTCAGAACAACATACGGTAACTACACTGTTTGGCTATAACGTGAAAGTTTTTGAGATATGTTATAAATAGATAAAACTATACATAAATCATGCTCGGTGATTGCGAATCATCACATATCGTGTAAGAGCTACGACTGCAAAAATCTATTCTAATATCGTCACTTCGGCACTTATTCTCCATGCTAAAAAGGGGGAATCTCTCCAGAAAGAGGCTTGCCACAACTAACACCTCACATCGGGAACCCCCACAACCTGTACGCACGCGTACGGACTCCTACTGCATAATAAAATATGTTTTCTACGCGCAGCTAGTAGTGGTAAAAAATCTCACGGTGCCAAAAGTGGTGCTGAAGGCGCCGCAAAGGTTCGACGGCAGGCATTTCCCCCCGACGCACAACGAACGCACCCGCCTGCCCTCCCTCAGCCTCCGCGCCCGCCTGCCCTCCCTCAGCCTCAGTGCCCGACCCGTTAATTGGGAACGTCGAGTGACGTGCCCCTGCATTTCAACTCGGCCTCGCGCTTCGCCGTCAGCCGCGGAATGCCGGGCTTCTGCGACCACGCAAACGCGATCTCGTAGTCCGACGGGCACGTCTTCTTGAAGACGTCCGACGCGTACGCGTTTCCCAAGTAGCGCCACAGGTGCGTCAGCGTCGCGGGGATGTCGAACCCCTTCAGTGCGCGCGCCGCGACGCGAACGTGCTGCAGCTTCGGCAGCACGATGCAGTCGAGGTGCGTCATCTCGTCGCCGCACAGGTAGGTGGTGTCGGCGGCGGCTCCGCCGAGGAACGTGTCAAGGCGGGAGAGCTCGGAGAGCAGCTGCGCGGGGTCCGTCGTCACCTCGCGCATGTAGAACGCGAACTTCGAGAAGAAGTTCTCGGTGGCCTTCTCGGCCGGCTTGCCGCCTCCGCCGGCGCCGTACGCGAGGTCGACATCGTGGAAGTTGAGGTCGAGGTACTGGGCGATCTCGTTCGCGTCCTCCATGACGCGTTCCTGGTGCACGATGACGGGCACGCGCGTCGACAGCTGCCGGTACGTCTCGGGAGGCTTCGCCATGTTGATCGTCGTCACGGTGAACTGCAGCTCCTTCGTGTGGCCCTTCAGCAGCAGCGCCATGAATATCTGCTGGCAGACGGGGCACGCGCCGTAACACGAACCGTCGCTGCCCGCTCGCACGTACAAGTCGATGTGGTTTGGCGGCTTTGAGGACATGGTTTTAGTTGTTTTTTTGTTTAGCGGGCGGCGGTGCCGACAGCGGTGGGGAAGAGTGGTTGGTTGGGGATGTGCCAATCGACGACTTACGATGCACCTGCGAACAGGAAACGAGAAACGGTCGGTTAGGAGTCGTGCGTCCGCCCGCCGGCGTATGCACGGCGCTGACAGCAGAGAGCTTTGTCCGCAGTAGTCACGATTCAAGCGTCACACGTACAAAACTTTCACACACTGTCCCGACTTAGATTGCATATGTGGACAAGCAAGTACTCTGGATGCTTGGATGCTTGCACGATGTACAGATGTAGGGCTAGAAATTAACTTCGGTAAACTTCTCCAAGACAAGCCTACCTGCTTCCATAAAAGTTAAAGCAGCTATAAACATTTCTAAGAGAAAGTTCTACTCCGAATGCTTATTAAGACATAAGCATCCAATATATTCAATATTAGCAGACCAATCAGTAGTGATTTTGGTTCAAGGATATAAGAGCTGTCCCCAATTCATTTTCGCAATGTGCGACATGTGCGAAAGTGCAAATGTGGACAGCTCTTATATCCTTTGGCTGTGATTTTCTATTGCTGAAGGACAATTAACATTTTAAACTTTGAACTTGAACACGAATTCTCGTTTTATTTATTGTTTATAACAAATTTAACAGTACAAATTTAGTAATTATATACATGTATAAGTCCTCCAGCTATAGTTATTTGCCAATGGCAGTGTAGTTATTCACAAGTTATTGTTATATGCATCACTACAAAATTGGGGAAATTGTGCATCACTTTGTGGTAGATCATGTAAATCAATACATTATTTTATGATAGATGCACTTATAATGTGTTACATTATTATATCCATACTTATAATAGAATATCTATCCAATCTACAACGTATAACTATCTTACGGTGCGCTAAGCATGATCATGATGATGATGTACCATTCATTCACTGATTGAGTCTTTCACATCACAGGCACTTGGAACATCTCAATTAAAACAAATAATGGTAAATAAATACGAAATGTATTTACTACACCAGTCTTAATGTTTCTCTACTCTATTTCGCCTATTATTGCCGATAATTACCCGTAAATGGCGATCAAATGCTCATCTGCAACACACAAGTACAGCGCACGCCCGCCCTATGCACAAACAACATGAATAAGAGAGCAGGTAGGAAAGAGTGATCGCAAAATTCGCTCGACGCTCGCTTCATTTCACACGACTACAGAACGAAAACACACTAAACAGCCTCCACCTTGGTGCCAGAGATATATCGTGAAATCCTGCAGAAAATGTTCTCTCCGCGAAAATGTAAAGAGGACGAGATGTTTGTTTATACACGAGTAATGGGGCGCATTGCATGCCGGGATGAGCTGCTGCCTGCCTCCGAGCCTCCGTTTCGAGGCCCGCCAAGCCAAGCATAATGCACGCAGGCATGACGTCACACACACACACACACACGACTACAGTGATCGATCGAAAGTAGCGCCGTTAGGGATTTTCGGATGATACGTACTCTTTACATTTCCACGGAGAGAACATTTCCTGCAGGATTTCACGAGATATCTCTGGCGGGAGCAGGCAAGAACAAAGGACAGTTATAATTCGAACAAGTGAACATTTAGCTACAGATAGATCCAAGAGGCCAGATGGAGGCTGTTTGGTGTGTTTTCGTTCTGTAGTCGTGTGAAATGAAGCGAGCGTCAAGCGAATTTTGCGATCACGCTTTCCTACCTGCTCTCTTATTCATGTTGTTTGTGCACAGGGCGGGCAGGCGTGCGGTGTACTTGTGAGTTGTGTGACAGTGTGTTGCAGAGGAGCATTTGACTGGCATTTACGGGTAATTATCGGCAATAATAGGCGAAATAGAGTAGAGAAACATTAAGACTTTGGTAGTAAATACATTTCGTGTTTACATTTTTTTATTTTATTGAGATGTTCCAAGTGCCTGTGTTTCACATTGCGCCAGATTGTAAACTAGGTACACACAGTGACACACGGCGACACGCCGTGCACGGTAGTTGGTAAATTGACTCAACACATAATTATAACGTAGCTACACCATAGCCCATGGAAGAATGTTAAGAAACACAAGTAATTACCACACAACACACTGCTGGACATATAGTCTCATAAATGCAGGACACTAACTTACCGGAATTCGTGCTCATAACTTTCTCTAACGGAACAACAGAAACGACCAAAATGGCTATCAATAACGAACGCAAGGTGGCGCACCCACACACCGGAAGCTGTACACTTGTTTGTGATGGAAGGAAATAATAAAAACAGAAGGTTTTGTTCAGCCTGATGCACTTTATTTAGTGTAGGTAGGCTACGAGAGCGTGTGTGTTTGTATATTAGTTGTGAAGATAAAGATGTAGAATTTAGGTAGGCCTATTGGCATAATATTTAATAAATATATAATGATAAAATGTAAAATCTCAGTGCCCGTGACTGATCACTCACTCAGTCACTGTCACTCAGTCTGTTGACTGTTGACTGTTGTGCTGAGGCAGTGCTCTAACTCAGAGACTGAGTGACCCCAAGTCTGCTCTCTACTCCGTTCTCGCCAAATTCAAGTCCTACTGCACGATGCTTTTGTTTTCTTATACTTATAATACTGATGCACTGCCAGTGCCAGGGCAGATCGTCCCCCAAATAAATATCCCCACAAGTGTCTGATCTTACGGTATTTACATGGATATATTTACCAGAGACAGCCTCAACTTCCACCCTATCCACAGAGATTTCTGTTTAACAGGAAGTTCAATGATGATAATAATACTTTTAATTTCAACTTCAGGTGAAATTCAGCTACTTGTTACGAAGCCAACAGTCGCCATGGCGATGCGAGAGCTGGTAGATGGTGAGTGTGGGATGGCTAATCCTCTAATGAAGCTGACGTCACATTTCACACAAGACAGAGCATTTTCCCAGGAGGGACTCAAGTCCGGTCGCAGTGCTGCATTCCCACAACGTGGCTCACTAGCACAAATTGGTGACGAGAAGGTACCAGTAGCCACAATGCAGGTCCCTGTAGTATCATTTTATACCAGAATGTCTTTTTTTGTAAAAAATCTAAATTTTGTATTTACAATTGGAACTGGCATGTAGGTTAATTAAAAGTGGAATTGCCATGATAGATCACAACACCTGTTTTAGGATATATTCAATGGGTAGGTTAGGGTAAAGTGTAATTTTGTAAGGAACAGCTTGAGGTGTTTGATTGCATTATGGCATGGCATAATTTAATCTTTAAATTTCATAATGATTTCATTAAGAGTCATTAAGTAGAAAGTCTGGTTGAATCCGGAAGTTAGTGATTACAGTTTGCAAAAATGATGTGAGGCAAATTTTGGCAACCTGGCAGCCTGTAAAGGGAGGGAATTATCATGGATATTCAGCATGAAGCCACAAATGGTAACATTACTCATTTATTTCTACAGCAGCTTGTGAATGAGTTCTTGGCGGACCAGCAAGTATGTTCTGCTCCGCGCTCCTTCAGAATGGATACTCTCCTGCAAGAGATGAGAGAAATAGAGGATGGGAGGCACAGACATGCACCGCTCACAGGTGACCTCCTACCTGATATATAACTAGCAGCCATTGTCAGGAACACATGTAGTGAGGGCATTACAAGTCTAAAATGATATAACTGTTGACGAGAAGTATCAAAGTTATGATATTTGAGACTTATGATATTCGTAATGGTTTAAGACGTTTCTAATGATAGGCCCCTGCATCATGAACAAACAAATGTGTCGATGCTAATGCTGATAGCGATGATTATTTAAGACATGATAATTATTATTGTATTTGAAATAATATAATCCTTTCAGAAAATTATCGAGTGAATTATCTATCACCTGAGGCGATTGGTTTTCATGGTTTTCTATCAACTTCTAGCACCAGGAATAGCAGCCCTAACAACTGGAGATGCAGCTCAAAGCTGGGCTGCCGAATTATTAATGGAAGATGGGAACATCCCTGACTCTGACTGGACGCAGGTAGATTATTTGTTGTAGTTTGTACATGTCATTCAAGTATCGTACAAAATACATTCTCTGATTAAAAGTTGGGATTTAGTTGCAGACGGTAACGTCACCAACTGAATACAGCACGCTCTGATATAATATACGTACTGCAGAAATACTATTTGATTTCACGAGTGTATATGACATTGAGAGCGTTTACTACTTGGCATTATTTGTTACTTCATTCATTATCGTAACGAATTGCTGTCGACAGGAGTTCAACCAGGAGCGAAGTCAGATGCTTAATCCGGGTGTTATTCACGACACAAAGTGGGCAGAGGAGTACTTGGAGCAGACTGAGAAAGAACCCGAGTGGTAGCTACCCTTACTGTCAGCATAAACCTGGCAATAACTACTAGTGATGTCACGATCATCGATTATACTCGATCATCGATTATACTCGATCATCGGTTGAACAGTGGCTCAAACCAAGCGCTTGGTTATCAAAATCCATAATCAATTTCATCGGAAAAAAAAACTTAAAGTAAAACTTGAACAAGAAAACTTGGAAAACTGATGAGAATCCGAGATATCATTGTTATTTTAGTTCGGGAATCACCCGACATTCGCCGCAGATACTTCCTGTTGAGGGGCTAAAGCCTAGGACACACTAGGGATTTTATACGCTGGCTAAACAAGCACATACATGCACACACGAACATGCACATGACGTTACGCACACGCAGGCATTCAACATCCCGAGTAACCGATTGTAACCGATCATCGGTTACTTGGGTCCAACTGATGATGGATTACGAAATTACAACTGATTGACAACACTAATATCTACTATAAATAACAATTAAACTATTATTGCTAGATGCTCACAGCAATCAGGAAAGCTTACAGAGAAGAACATTTATTCGCATTCTACTTCTAAAATCTTCCCAGGTTATTCTCAGATGGAACTTTCTAGACGACAGACGTGACTTTGTTCATTTTCATGTAGGTTGGATACCGATCTTCAGGAGGCAGAAGGTCAGTGGCTACAGGAGTACAAAGCCCAAGATGATACTGAACTACAGAGAGCAGCCAACGAGTTGCTGGGCAGTGTAGACGACCCAAAGTTCTCGGAAACAGAGGTATCTCGACACGTTATAGTAGAGTTGTGTCTGTTTCTCATACACCTCACACGTTTTTTTTTCTTGATGAGTGTACTTATTTTGGAACGTCTACCGAAATGCCGATGTCTAAGGATGTCTCCTCTGTAGTTTTAACGATTATCTAGATTTATCGTAAAATATTGCAGAATGAGTAGAGCGTCACACCAACATTATTCAGTTCTTACTATAACCATCTCGATTCAAATTGTTTTGTAGTTCATGAAGTTCATTGGGAAGGTAGGAGATGGGGATGTCACATTCGATAAAACTGGACAAGTGAAAACGACGGACCAGGCAGATAAATGGGTTGACGAATTCTCTAAGAAAACAGTAAATGCATAATGTATTTTTTGTTGTAGTTCACTAGTCAACGTTAGCTAGTAAAGAGTAAAAGGCACATGAGTGTATCGTTGATATACACTCTGTAAAACGAACACCTGCTTACAAAGGACACCTTCAGCATTTCTATTGACTGGCAGTCATAAAGTAAAGCCTTTACTATAACGCTCACGAGTCTACAAAGGATACTTGAGGTTTCCCCTGAGTGACCCTATATATACATATTTGACTGTAGCTATATGCATATTATTTGCAGCAAAGTAGTTCGAATCCGGAGCAGTGGACGAGGGAGTTTGAGTCTGCACAAGCGCCGGTTAGAACTGAGGAGGCAGATGTTGATTTCTGGGAAAGGCTACAGAAAGAATGGGAAACATTAGCACAGTACGTGGCTTCTGTGTTGACGTCACACTGACACACATTTTCTAATGATATAATTGAGGATACCGTAGATGTTGATCTCTCTGAATGAGTTAACCATGCTTCCTCTTAAATATCTTCACTATGTCAGAAAAGCTAGACAAGCCTATATACATTTTTCACATGTGCCAAATTGTCAACTTCACAGGACTTTGTTGCCAACCATTGTTTTTAGACTATCCTATTGCAACAGTGATTGCTAGAGCTGCTTAGTAACCATGCCAGATACACATCTCAATTGATGGGTTAAAAATTAACGAGTGGTTATAACAAAGGTATCATTGCTAATCAACTATTACTGACTCTTTTACAGCAATAGTGCTGAGGAACATCCATGGTTGTCTGACTTTGAGGAAACAGTGAACCAATACAAGGTGACTTCTTATTCTCGTTTGGTAAAATTCATTGTTCATAATAGATAAATGCCAGGAGCCAGTGGTGAGCGAGACTGCAGTGTGAGAAGAATCAAAGCATTGCTGTGTCATTTGGTAATATCGTGAACATATCTAGACACTATATATCAGATATATCTATATACAGTTCGACCTCCTTTATCCGGTCATCCGTTATCCGGAAATCTGTATTAACCGGCTGCGATCTCGCAGTGTATGTTCTCTGTTTTTCATTCATTTCCACCTAAAAATGTCGCTCAAAGCTCACTCAAAACTCGTGAGATGTACCAACCGTACGTGTGTTTGTGTGTGTGCGTGCGTGCGTGCGTGCGTGCGTGCGTGCGTGTGTGTGTTGTCCGCTCGTGTCCGCTATGCTTCCGGCAAAATTTCTGTTTTATTTAATTTTATTTCCATTTCATATAAACCATAAAACACAACAGTTTGTTACAAATAATCATAGCAATGAGTAAATACATTATCACATGCATAAGCCCTACTGAACTGCATAGAAATGCTGTGTTTGAGCATAACTCTCATATCCGGCCAAATCCCATATCCGGATGTGTGCTTGTCCCGACGTGGCCGGATAAAGGAGGTCGGACTGTATGTATCTATATCTAGGTCTATATTTATATCTATATCTATATCAATATCCATATCTATATCCATATTCACATATCCATATCTATATCTATGTCAATTTATATCTGTTTCTCTTTCTCTCTCTCTTCCCCTCCCTCCCTCCCCTCCCCTTCCTTCTTCCTTTCCTCTCTCTCGCTCCCTCTGTCTCTCTCTGTCTCTCTCTCTTTCTATATATATATATATCATGTGTATAGGTATGCCCATGGTAATATGTAGGAACTTGTATTTTAGGAGTACAAGTTTGAGAACGAGAATCCTCTGCTTGATCACAAGAATGCGTTTACCGAGGGCTTGGAGAGGCTGAAGCAAGGAGACCTGCCCAACGCCGTGCTCCTATTTGAAGCAGCTGTTCAGGCCGACCCGTCACACGCACAGGTACTCCTGTAATACGGCTATACCGGCCGGTCCCTCTGATGAAACTACAGGCCCCTGACCTAGTTGTATGTGTACCTGACGGCTCCGGTAGCAAGAGCTAATAATACCTTATTAATGTATTTTTATTGTATTTGTATTTTATGTGTTTGTATTATTGTAATGAATATATTATTAGCTCTCGCCAGTTTTACACTAATATTTGCAGATGTATGTCATTCATTCTCGCTATATATTCCGATACTGGCTGCTCTTTTTTTCGGTGACAAACCTAGTGGAGACCATGGAAAAATACAGATTACTTTATTAATACTATTGATTGTAGTACTGCACTAATGTGTAATTGTACACATTAGAACAGCATGAATTTTGTGTGCATTTTTTCTGTGCGTTTCTGTTGGTAGGCATGGCAATACCTTGGCACAAGTCAGGCAGAGAATGAACAGGAACCAGCTGCTATTGCTGCACTGAGGAAGTATGTTAATGGTGTTAACTGCTAATAACATTTTTTGATCTAGAGTAGGTTTCATAGAAGTTGCAATTACTTCTAGCAATCGATTGTAATCTGATACTCGGTAAAATGTGGTTTAAACTGCCATTATAGTTATACAGCAATTATAAAAAGAGAATTCTATTCGCTATCAAGTGAGTGTTTGTAGTTTACCTTTCAATACCCAATGACATTGTTAATAATGAGTAAGCGGCATTTCTACTCGCTTTGTTTAGTTTTCAGTAAAATGTGCAACTACTGCAAGTGTATTCTGCAGCTGGCGTTTCTGTCGGCCTTATTGCCAAAATTCTGTCCTTACTATTACTAAAATGAACGTTTTTTTAGGTGCTTGAACCTGGACGAGAAGAACGATGCGGCACTGATGGCTCTAGCCGTCAGCTACACAAACGAAGGCATGCACCATCAGGCGTGCGAGACACTGAAACGATGGCTGAAGAACCAGCCGGCTTACGGCACGCTGGTGCCACAAGAGGGTGCCAAGAGCACGAGCGCATCTTCATTTCTTAGCGGGTATGTCATAGGCTGTGCGTTAATATTATTGTGTATGCGGAGAAACTGGTTAGATAAAGATTGCATGTCAAAACCAGGAAGCTATGCTGTCTATGTTATGTCGTTAGAAACACGTTTGACTCATGAATGCAAATATCCAGAAGAAATGCACTCTGCGAATTTAACCACTGGCCCGGTATCCGAGGCCAGTAAATTTTCCGTGGGGCCAATGAAACTGGTAAATGAACAAGCCCGATGGACCAGTGGAGAAAAATGGAGTAAATGGTCTATTAATGATATTTCAGCTTCTTTATGTGATGATCTGTCTGAGAATTTACCGAAATTCCCGATATTTTGTATGAAAATTTACCGATATTTACCGATAGGGCATCATATTCCCGATCTTAAGTAGGGGAAGTAACTAGTCAACACCATGCGTGTTTGTCGTCGCTAGAGGTTGCAACAACTTCCGGTTTCTGGTTCTGGTTTTCAACGTGGCCTTGAACGTGTTGGCTAAGTTACTGTTCTAAGTCGAAATAAGCTTTCTGATTATGAATGAGCGTGATGATGATGAGTACGATGGCAGTGACAATGAGATGGGGGAGAGGGAAGTGGATAATTTTTTGTTTAATTTTATGAAAGAATAAATTTCTAAGAATCCACCAATGAGTTCTGTTTCTCTTTTCATAATATGATGATCATTGATTCGGGCCTGTAAAACCTAGTGTGGGCCAGTGAATTATACATTTCACAGGCCTGCTGGGCAAATGAGGGTGGAAGTTTTTCGTGCAGACTGGAAATATGCCTGTAAATATACTGAGAATGTCTGTTTTTTTGTAGGCCCGAGCATGCGGAAGCTACAAGCATGTTCATGGCTGCCGCTAGACAAAACCCTGAACAGCTGGATCCTAATATTCAGGTTGGTTCTGTGTATCATTCCATCATGAAAATGAATAATTATTATATTTTTATGTTTTGATGACTTCTTGCAATGAAGTTGCTGGAAATATGGGAATGTTTTGCACTCTGGATATCCATATGATACATAACCGTTCTTGGGTTGGTTTAGCCGGCGTTACTATTATATCGGTTCGTAACCATGGTTTGATTATGTTGCAGTGTGGATTGGGAGTTTTGTTCAACATGTCGGGAGAGTATGACAAGGCCATAGACTGTTTCAAAGCTGCCCTCAGTGCAAGACCAGATGTAAGAGTACTATAACAACCAACCTTTCTTTTCCCAATTGGAGTGTATAGTCGAATATGCATTAGTCAGCCCTTCTATAGAATGGACAAGTATCTCTTTGGAAGACTTTTTGTGGTGCTTTCCTTGAGTGATAGTTGTACTGTGAAACCACCTCTGTAGAGTGGTCACCTGTCTAGAGTGGTCACCTCTGTAGAGTGGTCACCTGTCTAGAGTGGTCACCTGTCTAGAGTGGTCACCTGTCTATAAAGGACACTTGCCATTCACTTGAGTGGCAGTTACACGGTGTAACCACCTTTACAGAACGCCCACCTGTCTAGAAAGGCCACCAGTGAGCGTTTTCCTTCAGTAACTATTATACATGTTATATACAGGTTTGACTGTTATAGATATTGATTTTATCGAATAAAATTAAAATAACATTTGTTGCAATTGTGTCATATCCTGCAGGTGGTTTCAGCATTGTTCTACTGTCTGGGGTGCTTGGACAAAGTGTGTAATTTAGCAGTGATGCTTCTATTAACTATTAGATCACTTCTTCATTCCGATTCCCTTGCCTGACTTCAAACCATTGCCAGTGATGTAATTTTTTTGCTGCACTATTTTCTCACCTAGTTTGATTTTCGATCTCTAACTAGGTTGTTGAGGTAAGTGTCTAAAAATGCTAATTTTGTTTATCTGGCAGGATGCCTTGTTGTGGAATAGATTGGGAGCTACAATGGCCAATGGTGGGAGAAGTGAAGAAGCTATCAACGCATACGACCATGCTCTCCAGCTCTCCCCCGGCTTCATACGTTCGCGCTACAATCTGGGAATCAGCTGCATAAACCTAGGAGCTCACAGGTAGTAGATAGAAGTCTCTACTGCAATGATGCATGTGTCAGCACAGGTGTGAAGGTCGAATTTGAATTTTTAAGGGTACAGCAGTGGTGGCCATTGGTTTAGTCATAAATTTTAGGGCACTGTGGTAAGACGGAGGGGCATCACAGCTAGCATTTCCTTCAAAGACCGGTTATCATGGCCACTTACTTTTTAACAGCACTTTATGTGGAGTGAATATTGCGAACTATGTTGACAGGAACATGTGGGACAGCGTATGCGTGGGTATGTTCATACATGCAAGTGTGTTTCTGTCAATACTTTACAGATGTGTGCAGGCTTTACGGTGTAGATAGTACTTAAGTGGATGCCTGGGATCAAGTGTACTGGCGTGTGTCGGTCAATAGATACGCGCGTAGATACGTGTCCGTTCTGTAGAACACAACTGCTAACACAGGCGCGATGGTAACTTCTGTTACAGAGAGGCGGTTGAGCATTTCCTAACAGCGCTCAACATGCAGAAGTCGGGCATCGGACCGAGCGGACAGCGCGCGGCCATGTCTGACAACATATGGACAACACTGCGCATGACCGTCTCCCTGATGGGTCGCAGGTACGTTCACGCATCCTGCGCCACCGCTAGCTCTCAGAACACCTGAGGCAAGCGATCTCAAACGTTTTTACCTTGCAAAATATACCTTGTTATAAGACTCCACCTCATGGTTACTGGCTAAATATAATGGCATGCAGGTACATGCATTGTTGCAGATACGTTCATGCATCCTTCACCACCGCTAGCTCTCAGAACACAGAGACACGATGCAAGCAATCTCAATCATTTCTACCTCACAAAAAACCTTGTTATAACACTTGTGCAGTATTTCTCTGACTAACATGCAGTATTTAGCTGTAGAACTGGAACTGTGTAATCATGGTGAGTAATATTGTGTTCTTATGTGACACATGTTCTTTTCTCTGCGTAGTGACCTATACGAACTGGTGGAACGGCGAGAATTAGACATGCTTTCTACAGAGTTTGGTGTTGGTAGCTTGCCCGTCACCTAACTTTCCTCGCGCGTACTCGGACCAACGCAAGGTGCTACTGCAACACAGTATTAGTAGGTGAGGGTTCCAGTCACACTGGGATTAGAATAGCCCCTGAAGTGCCTGCACGTGTGATTTTTGCATTGGGACATTCGCCCGGTTCATACAGTCACAAGCATCACCCAATCTGCATCGTCAGATAATAATATGAACTAAAGAAATGCCTCTGCCGGCGCTACGGGCGTACGGTACGTCTAACGTTACTAGTCTTCCGTGCTTTCCTCTACCTATGCGTATGCAGCGTGCAGACGGTTGGGAGGGGGGGGGTAGGAGCGCTGGTGAGCGCATGGTGGCTTCACGTTGGTTTAAAGAGTAACCTTAACCATGGCAAATGGTCAATGTACTAGGCTTGCACTCGGAGCGCAGGAAGTGCCGAGATGAACCGATAGCCAGCGTGGGTGGCGGTAACTACTGCAGATGGGGTCGTTGTCATATCAGGTACTACAGATATGTGCCCGAGGTAGTTTTAGGTCGTTTAGTATTATGTTTGTATTTTTATATGAGGTATGTTTAGGGTTAGGGTTAGTGTTAGGGCTAGGGTTAGGGTTAGGGTACACTCCTGTAGTACAAGTCTGGTACACTTTGTGTATACATATATGTACCTCGGTTACATATCTGTAGTACCTGATACGACAACGACCCCTTGAGCGTAACTACTGTAAGGTGCGAGGAGGCAGTCTGAGGGAAGGAGGCAGTCTGAGGGAAGGAGGCAGTCTGAGGGAAGGAGGCAGCCCGTGGTGTTGCGAAGGCTCGGCTTTTAATGAGAAACGTTTTGTAGTGTTAATCGTAATATGCCAAAGGTTAGGTTGTGATTTTGTTGTGTAAATAATGGTTTTTAGTCTATGGTAAAACACTGATTTATTTACAGTATAAATTGGGGGGGGGGTGACCTTTTTATGTGGAGATTTAAATGATTACTTCTATTAAGCCATTGCATGTCACATGACTGCATAAGACATATATATATATATATATATATGCCTCTGTGGATAATGGGACATTATTACTAAGTGTTACAATTGCAAAGAAAATTTTATTAACATTGATCACAGATAAATATTTTTTACAGACATGATGAAGTTAAAACAATAATTGATTCCATTCTGTGTATTATGAAGCATATTTACTGATGTGCTGTTATCAGCACTGTTTTGTTGCATGCATAATATTGTATATATATATAGTTGCATACTATAAGATTGGATTAGGTGTAGCACCAGTGAACTTGTCAGACACCTTGATAGAGATGGTAGTCAGGTAGAACATGATACAACGTATCAATTTCGCTAGCTAGCACAAGGGGAAGACTTAGAAGGGGGGGGGGCGGCGTTTCCCATAAGGGGTGTCAGATGCTCTGATCGCCCCCTGCATATAGGAATCATCCAGCTTTTCCAACAGTAGGTGACGCTACCTGGTCAACTTCATTTATGTAATAAATATGATTCTCAGAGTTAGGATTATGATATCATATCCTATGTGATGTTGGATATCCTATGCGAGTTAGGATGATCATATATCCATGTGTTGTATATATCTATGGGATTATGAAGCAACATGAAAAACGTAACACATATCAAGATCATGTTTATGGTACAAGATATATTTGCTCAACTGCAGAAATTAATGGCTTTGTGACAAAATAACAAAAATAAAGTATTGCCTTTAAATATAATGATGTATTTCATTATAAATTTTCTAATGAGTAACTGATATCACAATAAAAACGTTTACAGAATAGGTAAAACTGTGTATTCGCATAATTTCACTCTTGCTTCTCTAGTATCATTTCCACAATTTTGGCTCTTTTGCCCATAATCATTATTTCCCTTAACCTACATTTTTCAGTTCGGACTCTTATCATAACGTTATAACCGGTGCAAATCCACTTTAGGCGCCTTAGCCTTAGGTATCACGAAATATCAATGAATCATATCAATATACGTATATCAAGGAATGATGCAAAAATCGTTCTTTGTTTGTGAATTTTATATAACCATTCTATTTCTTTTGTTCATATTAAATTCTAATCTTTTTGATTCAGCTAATGTGGGGCTAAACCGACCAGGCTCTCCGACTGTTAGTACACGTCGTAGGAACAGTAGCTAGCCGATGTAGTGTTGAGAGAGAATGGAACTTGTGGCTAATCTGGAGCATGACTGAGCGATATTTTTACTGTTTTATAATCTCCAATTTCTAGAATATCGTCCATATAATCATTGTCATCTTCTAAAACTACAGACCATCCGCTGACCGCTGTGGAGACGTGCGCCGGGCCTCGAATTTGGCGCACGTCTCCACTGCGGACAGCGCGCTTCATACTTGAACATCCGCCGCGTCGGCCCGTGCGCATATCCCGCGGAACAGCGCGTTCGTCGGCGCTGCTCGGCGCCTCATGATCAACAGCCTGTGCAACGCAACCTTGTATCATGTCTCTCTGGACGTGACGGGCGTGTGATGGGTCAACCCGATGATTGGCACGCAGTGCCACGCTAAAACACAGGCATCGCGCCCAACCCCCTCATCCAAAAAAGTACATCTACTGCATTTTCGAGCGAATCGCCGATCTCACGTTCTGCCGCATCAATCTACTCGCGAATTGTCTTAATCGATAGCTAAGGCTCGTTAACAAAATTACGTGCTATTAGCACCGCTGCGCCCTCGAATTTCCTCGTAAATCCGCATTTTAGTGAGACCGTAAGCCCCGCCCATTATTCCTTATACGGCGCGTACGGCGGCACGGCGGTTCTGAGCCGAGGGCTTATCTCTTATCTGCCTATTTTCCAGACACATGCGGTGCCAGCCCAGTTCCAACATGTCGGTTTACATAGGGTCAACGCGTTAACGCCTAGCCCAAACCAAGGAGCTAAATATAAGGAGTTATATTTAACTCCTTGGCCCAGACGCCTAGTCAATGTTACATGCCACAGCGGCCATCTCCTGGATCATAAAAATAATAAAATAAATATAAGAGATAAAATTAAAGCGCAATCAGGGCCGTCCCTAGCGATCACTATCTCTCCAGTGTGCAAAATTACTGTTATTTAGGAAGAAAGGTAAAACTGTGTACCGTATTCGCATAATTTCACTCTTGCTTCTATAGTATGATTTTTTGCTCTTGCCCATAATCATTATTTTCCTTAACCTACATTTTTCAGTTCGGACTCTTATCATAACGTTATGTTAACCGGTGCAAATCCACTTTAGCCTAGGGACCTTAGCCTAGGCTTAGGTATCACGAAATATCAAGGAATCATAATCAATATACGTATATCAACTAGGAATGATGCAAAAATCTTTCTTTGTTTGTGGAAATTTATATAACCATTGTATATTTGTTATGTTCAATTTAAATTCTAATCTTTTTGATTCAGCTAATGTGGGGCTAAACCGACCAGGCTCTTCGACTGTTAGTGACTGTTATAATCTCAACATTCTAGAATATCGCCATATAATCATTGTCATCTTCTAAAACTACAGACCATCCCGCTGACCGCTGTGGAGACGTGCGGCCGGGCCTCGAATTTGGCGCACGTCTCCACTGCGGACAGCGCTTCATACTTGAACATCCCCGCCGGTCGCGTGCGCATATCGGCGGAACAGCGTCCGTCGTCGGCGCGCGCTCAGCGCCTCCATTGATCTACGCCTGTGCAACGCAAGCGACCTTGTAACGTCATGTCTCTCTGGACAGTCTGCCAAGCCGGATAAACCGCGCGAAAGCGCGATACCAGCAACACCTGGTGGTGCCATTAGAGACAAATCGCTGCCAAGCATTGTACTGACTATATACGTAATGCCCTAACTGGGTATAGCAGAAGTCCGAGAATCGGGTACATTTAGCAGCTTCTGGCGCTTGCGAGAGCTTTTCGACTGTTGGCACGTAGGCGCGCAGATAAATCCACATGTCGTAATTGGTCATTTTTTTTGCTTCGCAGGCCTTACGCTTTTCGTATAATAGAAAGGTGATTCTTCAATTGTATTGAATTTTGACGCTCCCTGAATATGCTACGTGCTGTATTCGCGCCTCCGCCTGGATGGCCGCCACGAGGTCTCTCACTGCTGGGACGCATTTCGCCAGAGATATTCCGGACGACTCGGGTTTAGACTGGGCCACCGAGTCAGCACAGTTCACGCTGCGCAGTTAACTATCACTCTTAGTAGTAGCCAAAGATTCTTCGCCGAGTTATCGTGCGCAGCAGTCTATCTTATCACTGTCATTTTCGTAGCCATGTTAGTACGCGGATGATTGATGCTTGTTTTTACACTGAGTTAATGCCGACTAGCCGTTATGTGGAAAACCACCAGCCGTATGTCTGAGCGTCGGTCATTACCCCCCCCCCCCCCCATTCTGTGATGTTTGGGATCATGACGTCAGACTTGAAGCATGTATAGCAGAGCAGATCGACTCAGCAGCATGTGCTACCTAACGTGCATTTATAGAAAGAAGAGTCGGATAGAATTGTTCGGGTTCCGATTTCAACCGTGTTGTTACCTATCTTCTGACTAATACTATACTCTACTTAATTCTCTAGTACTAAGTAGGAGGCGCGCTACAGAGTTTGTTCACGTAGTTATATTACATACTCACAGTAGACAGTTTATGATAGTTTGCAGCTTATTGGTTTTGTTTTTTCTGTTTTCGTGTACTTTCAGATGTTGTAGAATTGTAGCATTAATATAACTTAAATATAAGCGACATAGAAGCTAGCGTGTTATGCTATCTGTTAGGGATGAACGATGCGTATGTATAAACGCTTACTAATTACAGGTACCAGCAATGTGTATTTATTCGTAACAGTACCTGACAAAACCATGACTACTATATTCCACGTTAATTATCCACACACAGACACTCGATTCTATATTAACCAGGGTGATTCGAACTCCGTATAAGTAAGTTTCTAATTTGATATTTAGCCCTGAGGTTATAGCTGAAACGTAAACTAAGCGTTGCACCAACGTAAACAGAAATCGAAAGAAGGTTTTTCGTATACAGCTGCGAGGCGATTATAATTGCGATGACCTTGTGAATACAGCCAGCATGGGGGTTCGAACCGATTTTCTTGTGTGAAGGCCTAATTTACACGATGCGTCCTAGACGTAGCGTCCCAGGACTTATCAGATTTGCACGTACGTCTAGGACGCAACGGTGAATCTGTTTACACGGTAAGTTTTGGACGTACGTCCAGGACTGAGAACAATATATACATATATACGTGTGCGTGTGCGTGCGTGTGTGTGTCTGCGTGCGTGTGTGCGTGTGTGTGCGTGTGCGTGACACACACACACGCACACGCACACGCACACGCACACGCACACGCACACACGACACCCACACGCGCGCAGCGCCAGCACAGACACACGTCACACACACACAGACACATACCACACGCACACACACGACACTACCACACACACACCCACACACACACACGCACACACACACATACACATACCACACACACACACACCGCGCGCGCGCACACACACACGCGCGCACACGCGCACACACGCACCCACACACGCACACACGCACGCGCACACACACACACGCGCACACACACGAGCAGCGCCACTACTTTTTATGGTAGTGTGTGGACATCCCATTGTCATCTTCTAAAACGAACAGACCATCGTCGCCGCTGACCGCTGTGGAGACGTGCGCCGGGGCCTCAATTTCGCGCACCGTCTCCACTGCGGGAGCGCTTTGAAACTTGAACATTCCGCGCGTCGCGTGCGCATATCCCGCGGAACTCGCGCCGATCTCATCCGCGCGCAGCGCTCAGGATCTACAGCAAAGCTGTGCCACGCAATCTTGTATCATGTCTCTCTGGATCCGTTCCGTAGAATGTACAGATTTTGTTGATAAGTGTGTCGCATTCAACCCCATTGCATGAAAGCACGATCACGTTCTCGAGTCAACGATATATTTTGAATCTTTCTTTGTCAAAACGCCGTATGATAGAGCTGACAAGCATATCAATGGAATTAAAATACTCCTGTCGATCATGTAGTTCTTTTGGGGATGCATGATATCAGGTGATATTCAGGTGGAGCATTACCAACTTGAAATCGCCGTGGTGCCTTTTTTGCCCGGGGAAGTACAGGGTGAGCTACAACATCTTCACCCAGATCAGTCTTGGCTAACAACACCTTTTCATAGAAAAGATCAAAGTCTCTGCCACAACGGATACATGGCTTTTTAATGTAGGCACGGTTTTCATTGCTATCTGCAACTTTGAACTTGTAATGTCTAGGATGATCTCGATTAAACGCTTGAACGGATATAAACAATGACGCTCACAATGGCCGAGCAGCATGCAGACGATCGTTTCTGGTACAGTATCAGCAATTAAAGAGATCAACACATGTCGTCTTATAAACATTCTTCAGTTTATTACCGGTACTATAGTCATGTAGTAGTATATATGCGTGTATACATAAACTATATGTGATTTCAGGGGCGTGTACAGGATTTGTACCGGGGGGGGGGGGTCTAACCGTAACCAAAACTTGAGAGCACGCGAAGGGGGTTTTGGGGCCCTCCCCAGAAACATTTTTGAAATTAGACCCCTTAGATGCGTTTTCTGCGCGAGCAGGGGGGGGGGTCCCGAACGGGCCCCTGGACCCCCCCCCCTTGTACACGCCCCTGGATTTCAGATATGCTCAGGATTACAATAACTGTAGATCCAGCCTGTGCATAACGAAAATGCGTGCTTCAAAACAATCATGATTGGAAAAATTATTGGTCCGGCCATGGCCGGACTAGCCGGACCGGCTCCGCCGGCCCTGTAACCCTAACCTTAACCCTATATATTTTATATATTATATATATATATATTAGTCAGAAATAGCTAAACGAGCCAGGTCAAACAGAGGTCAGGGGGACATAGACCTTATCTGCGGCAGTATATGGAAAAAGGAGAACTATAGTGATCAATCATTACATGACAATGTAAAATCATCATGCACTAGTGACATCTATTGACAGGCATTATAAACTAAAGCTAAACGACGAAAGGTGACTAGCAGGAGGTGAGTTACTTAATCAGCTTAACACTGCAGAGTGAGCTATTCGCAACGTAACAGAAGATAACATGTCTTTATATTGTATTTATGTCATCTTTCTATCACCATCATCATCTTTATATATTTCATAAAATGTTTTTGTACACTCCCTTGAACAGAGAGGTGTACACCATAACAGTGCAGTCATAGGAATAATGGTTTGGCAAATGTTGCCAAGAGCCTCTTGTATGCCCCCTCATGCCAATCCAACAATCACACTCCCCACAAAGGTCTCAGTGTCCTGGCATTGTGCTGGTATGTGACATCATCACACGTCAGCATCAATCTTGTGGCTGTCTGTGCTGGCATTGTGCTGGTACTCGCCCTCACACGTCAGCATCAATCTTGTCGCCCGTCTGCTCATGGTCCGCTCGCAGCATCAGTACCACCTTGCCGGAGTTTTTGTTTTCCTCGAGCATCCTGTGAGCCTGACTGAGTTGACCGAAGGGCAGCACCGTGTCTACGATGGGCCGCAGCCTTCCGGTCGAGAAGAGAGGAAGTGCGGCCTCCTCGAAGCTACGAATCAGCTTGGTTTTATACTGCAACAAGAAATTCACACAAATCAAAGTCGAACTCATAACAAGTGCCGCGGAGCGACAGCGCTCATCTCACGTCTACTGCGGTGACTCTGTGGTGGAGTGGTGGGATTCTAGTAAACCCTGTTAGTCCCAAATGTGTTCACATACGCGCCGAAACAGTGGAAGGCACAGGGATAATATCAGAAACATTCTCGAAGGAATGTTCGTTGGGATCGTTATGAAAGTTGCCACGAGATGGTACGATACGTAGTATAGCAACAACTATTTGCAAGACAGAATAGGTAAGCACTCATCCATTTACCTATACGCAAGCCTACAGGTTGAAATAGAGAGCTGCCACCTGTAACTAATTAACGCAGGCAAAAACTACACCGTACTATCACTACCACATGCACTGGCAGTAGCCACTGGTAGTGGCATACTTAAGTTACATGTAACACACTGG